TTTTTAAAGCCAATGTGATTATTTGAATTTTCACGTGATTTTTATTCTACAATAGCATCAGGTATGGATGGATTTAAAACTCGTTTTTAGTCGCTTTATAAGGAAAGGTTCGAATATTCGCCATGTGCCTGCAGTGGCATTTGATTTGTGAATGCAATAAAAGCCAAAATAGATTCGATTGATTTGATTGATTTGATCAATTGATGGGGACGATCCTACCGATCACTATTACTCTAATAACCAAAAAAAGATTTATTGGGAATCTCGAAAAATGCCCATTGGTAATGCATTTTATGGTAAACTGGTAACGTATGTGTGAGTATGTGGACGAAGGAAGAAGAATAACAAATAATAGAAGAAGGAAAAGAAGAATAATGATGATGGTTGCTTGCAGGAAGCATTAATTTCCGTGGTAATAGTGGTAATTGGGTGCGATGCGAAGAATGAAAGGATAAGGGTCATTACCAAATAAATAAAATAAAACTTTAAAAATAATTTTTTTTTATTTATTTATTTATTTATTTATTTATTTATTTATTTATTTATTTATTTTTAATTTTTTTCAAATATTAAATTTGTTTTTAGAAATTTTTCAACTGGGGAAACCGTTCACTCGCCTATTCTCTCTCTTCCCTTATCAAACAAAATTTAAGAGTTCCATCGGTTTTTTTGCCTTTCTTGAATGATTTTGCTGACAAATTATTATTATTATTATTATTATCATCATCATTATTATATTATAAATAATTTCCAAAAAATGGGGGGTTTTTTTCTTCAAAAATTTTTTTTTGACGGTGAAATTAAATAATCATTGTGTGTATTTATAAAGAAATTCTTGTTTGATTGGCCGGTTAAATTGTTTGTTTGTGGATCTAAATTTATATAAATAATGTTTTTATATTCTTTTTTTGGCTAACCAAATGCTAATTACTTATTATTCATACAACATAGGCACGTGCATATTCTTATTAGAATGCATATCTGTGGATGGGTATAAAATGAATGAATGTATCACATAATACATTAAATGCTAATGAATGGGCTAATAATAATAACAACAACAAAAACAATAATAATAATAATAAAGCGAAGAGTTGACGAACGAATTAATAAGCGTTGAATGAAAGTTAATGAATGAATGAATAAATTTATGGTAATCTCTTGCCATTCGAATAGAATAAATAATAGGAACGAAACAATATAAGTCAAAGAGAAAATTATGAAATTGTGATTTTCATTATGAGCATCATAACAATGTGTGTGTGGATTGATATTAATCCGTCCATCTATCCATCATCATCATCATCATCATCATCATCATCATCATCATCATCATCATCATCATCATCATCATCATCATCATCATCATCCAAGTAATAAAAGTTTTTTTTTTGATTTTGTATGTGAAATAAATCCAATGCTAACTTGTAAATTATATATGGTGTGGTAGGAATGTGTAGAAAATCTATTAATTAGACATTTCTTATACTAAATATTAATACGCTAAGTAAATTTTTAAATTCATTGTTAACAATATTTTATTTGACATGTAACACTGCAGTTATGTTACTTACATGATAAAATATTAATATGTATAAATATATACATAGACGATTTTCCGATAATACACTAACCCAGTTTGTTTATTATTGATATTTTCATTTTATTTCATTGATTATAATAAATTTGACATTTTTCCGCTATTGATTTAATGGTTCCGACTTCAGATATCAACAAACAAAAAAATTATTTAAAATATTTTAATTGTATAAATTTAGAAATAACTTATTATCCGTATACAAAACAAATATTTGTTATTATCCAATCAATGATTATGGCATCATAATACTGGCTGCCGTGAAGTTTCAAGGGGAAGAAAATCCGAAACTTTCGAAAAACGCAAAACTTGGATCAAAATCGAAATTCATCAAAATCGTAATCGAAATCAAAACTATTTCGATGAAAAACCCGTTTTTGTTCTGAAAAAAAAAAAAAACAAACTTTTGTGATATTTAAGTAGTATAGGTTAATTTTATATTATGCAATTTAATAAATTAATTTTTTTTTTAAACTAGCATTAATAATAAATTAACTGGTTTTAAATGTTTTTATTTTTAAAGTATTTGATTACTTATTTTTGACAAAATTAATCAATATTTACATGGCCACTGTGCATAACACTGTTTTTTATGGCGAAAATGAGAAGAGAAAGAATAAAAGAAAACCGGTTTATTATTTATTTACAGACATGCCACATTATATTTATTTATATTTCATACAATAAAAGTCAAAGATTGCCTGTGAATAAATTGATAGTAAAGTAATTATTTGATAGACGTCACGTCAATTGCGCTGTGATATATATATATTTATGCACTTATCCAAATTTATCACATATACCCTCTTTATTTTGCCAATTTTTTTATTGATACCCTAAATTTTATAAAAATAATTTAAATATTAATATTTAAAAAAATTTTTTTGATATCTATCAAAAAAAACTTATAAAAACCTAACCAAATCATTCTCTGTTCAAATTATTTAAAACAAATAAAAAAAATTTTCATGATTTTTTTTTTCTTTTGTTTGTTTTAATGCTTGTTCCTGTTTTTTTTGTTTTCTAATGATTTTATATATATTCTATTGTTGTTTACTATTATAATATTTTAACGATTAAAAAATTAAAAAATTAATTTTTTAAAACATCACTTTCTTCTTATATTAATAATCTCTCAAATACAACTATTTCATATTAACCAACACACTCTCTCTAATTGATTAGTGTCGTTCATTAGACAATCACACGTTTATCACACACAATACACAAACACACGCACGTACGCACGCACACTTTCACATCACCGCCACCAACATCATTTATTTATCAACAATCACATCGATCATCAAAATCAATTTTTTGATTCAATTCTTTTTTCTCTATCCCTTTAAATATTTTCTTTGTGTAAATTAATTTTTCTTTAAAAAAGTTTTTTTGATCAAAGTTCATTAATAATAATATAATTAATTAATAATATAAATAAAATCCTTAATCATAATATATATCATATAATAATAACTTCATAAATTTACATTTCTCGGACCTATTATATACATACACCTTTATATATATATATGTATATATATATATATATATATATATATACTTTCTAGAACTTTATATTTCTTTCATTCTTGCATATATAAATCAATAACAAATAAAAAAATACTCTTATATTATATTCAAAAAATATCCATCCAATCCTTTTTTTCTAAAAAAAAAAATCTTCAAAAAATCATTTTAAATCATCAAAGCCTCCTCCCATTCTAATCATCATCTACTGTGTTGATCTATATTTACTTTTATATAATTTTCTTGGTCTGTGTGTAAGTAATATACAAATGGTTTTTTTTATTTTTTTATTTTTTATTTTGAACAGATTGGAATTGATTGGAAGTGATTGAAAATGGTTGAAATGTAAAATATTTTACTGTTTCTTCTCATTCTCCCTCACTCTCACTCCTCCTTTCTTCCCTACCTTTTACATTAATCCATCATTATCAGCATCATCATCACTTTATTTTATTCTAAAAATAATAAAATATTCTGATTCTAATAATAATAATAATATAATAAATATTTATTGTTTATATAATGAAATCACTTACCAATTTTAATTTATTTATTTATACATTATATTATATATTTTATTGTATATGGATGGATACCACTTAATACAGTTACTGCATCCTACAAAAACTATCATCATCATCATCATCATCAATCAGCATCAACATACTACCGGCACGTCTTTTCTATCATCATCGATATCAACACACACAATCCCAATTGACAATAAAAAAGATTTCTTTTATATTTCCCTAAAAATAAAATATTAAAAATAAAAAAAAATTTAAAAATAAATAAATTTTAAAAAATTCCTTTTATTTCACAAATCACCTTAATCATCAACCAGACAACAATATAAATCCACCCAATTCTTTTTAATTTTTTTGTTGGAATTTTTTTAAGTAATTAATTAGTAAAAATTTATTATAAATAATAAATAAAATGTCTTACAATAATAATAATAATAACCAACAAGAATTCGATCAAAATTCTGTTTTTCAAGGTAAATTAATAATATTACTGTAAATTATAATAGCAGTATTAATATTATATGATCTTTTTTTTTAATTACCTCTTTAATTATTTCTCGCTCTCTAATTTCGTCGTCACCATTCTATAATTCATTCGTTCATTTACTTCCACTCGGGCAATCCATTTTGTTATTGATTCCTTGATTACTATTATATGATCAATTAATTTCCTCAATTTTAATCCTTTTCACTATTTTTTCACTTAATTGTCAAACAATGGATTTTATTTATTTTAATTTCCAACACCCCCCTTTTTTTTCTTGGCTCCGTATCCCAATCAACCGACTAAAATTTTTTTTTTTTTTTTGCTTTCTCTATAAATAAAAAATAAAACTAACTTATAAAAAATTTCTTTTATCTAATATTCAAACAAACAAACAACAACAACAACAACAATAATAGAAATGAATCACGTAAATCATCAAAAACCTACTGCTTTGACACCTACTGCTTTGACACCTACTGCTTTGACACCGACTGCTTTGACACCGACAACATTTCAATATTTTTCTCAAAATAATACTCCTCTAAACTTTACTTCTAATAATATTATCAATAATAATAACAATATGATTTCTAACAACATAAGCAACAACTTTACTGTTGTTGCTAATAATAATGACTCGACCTCTAATTCTAATTCTAATAATTACAATAACGAATCAAAATTTTTGAAAAACGCGTCGTCGAATAAAGAGGAAGATGAAGAATTAATGAATTGTGTACTAAATACAACTACAGTATCAGCACAAGAAATAGAAGTAAAAGTAGAAATAAATAATTTATTTAGAGAAGAAATAAACTCTAATGGTGATGATGGCAAAATAAATCAAGACGATATTATGGTCACTGATGATGACGATCACAAAAATCACATGACCACTGATAATAAAAATCATCCTGTTAACAATAATATTTCATCTTCAAATTCTTCACCAACAGTCACAACAATAACACCATCCACACCTACTACTTCCTCATCCTCAAGCTCTAAATCAAGTCTAAATAATAATAATAATAATAATAATAACGATAGTAATAATAGTAATAACAATAATACTGCTTCATCGGTATCAGCATCAGCATCAACGTCGCCTTCGACACTTCATTTACTTGGTATTGATAATCCAATTATCAACATGTACTATTTGGATGTTAACGCTAATTCTACCAACACTGCTAGTGCTACTAACCATCAACAACAACTGCAACAACAACAATCCTCGCCGACTTCATTATATGACGTAAGTATAATTTATTTATTATTATTGAAGGGTTTCAATTAGTCAATTAGTCATTATTACTAAATATATTGCTTGGCTCATTTGGATAAATAATTATTTCTTTATTAAATATAACGGAAATAATATATTAATATAACCAATCATTTATTATTACAACGAACGAATTATATTAGATTGAAGGTACTACTACGAGTTCTATTTATAATCAGGTAATAAATAACATTAAATAAACTTATTTATTTATTTATAAGCATTCACATTCTAATTTTTTCTATCATGTGAATAATATTTTCTATAGATATTTATCGACACCACCAAAAATTTTGATCCTTTGTCTCAACAAAATCACAAATCATATGTGAGTGATATTCCATCTACATACTAATAATTCTCATTTCTCTACCATTTATTTATTTGTTGTTTTATTTGTTTAATTTGTTTAGTCTGATCAATCAACAAATAATTTCGATGATGATTGGAAGGTAAATATTAAGTTTTTTTTTTTGTAAATAGAATAAATTCTTTTGAAGGAAATCCTCGTTAATTTAATTCCAATTCCAATCGAAAGGCAACTCCACCTTCGAATATCATATTTAATGATTTTAATAATGGCGACTTTTACAATCAAAACTTAACATTTCAGTGTAATTCTGTTTTGGTCAACAATAATTTTCCTTCCGCATCCAATAATAATACTGCTTCTGTTGTCGCTACCGTTGCTAGTGCTACTACTAGTAGTAATAATAATAGCCCAACACTACTACTGACATCACCGACATCGTTTTCATCTTCGTCAACAATAAATGCAAATCTTACCAATAATAATAGTAATCAACAATATTCATCATTATTTTCATATGTTGATACATCATCTAATGCACTACAAAATTTTGATTTTTGTAATAACAACAACAATAATATTATAAGTAACAGCAACAGCAACAGCAACAACAACAACAACAACAACAACAGTAATATTAGTAGTAGTATTGGTAGGCGATCTAATCAAACTTCTTATGCACCTCTTTCATTATATGAAAGTGGTTACCATTGCCCTCCAACAACAGTAGCTGGTAGTACATGTCACACATCACCGACATCATCAAGATCGACAAATTTCATAAATAATTCATCACCATCACAATCATCTCCATTATCGACAACAATTAATTTAGCGTCAATCAGTAGCAAAAATAATATCAATAATAATTCTGCCAACATCAGTTCTATTCTTCATCCTCCTTCCACATCAATAATAACCTTTAATGGAAATAACAGTTATAATAATATTATCAACAATAATATTCATCAACATCATCCAAATATCAATTTCAATACTACAACTAATCCTACTATCAACAGCAGCGGTAACAGCAGCAGCAGCAACAACAGCAACAGTAACAACAACAGTCATCCACCAGCATCATCATCATCATCATCATCATCGTCATTACAAAATCATCATCTTGGTAACCAAAAGCCACCAGTTTACACAAAATGGACAGAAGAAGAAGACGAACTACTAAAAGCAGCAATCAACATCTATGGACCTCATAAATGGTCATTGATAGCAGCTCACGTTCCAAACAGAACGCCAATGCAATGTTCAACAAGATGGTTGGGTGCTCTTAACCCAACAATCCATAAAGGCCGTTGGACACCAGAAGAAGATTCATTGCTGAAAGAGGCAGTTGGCGAGTATTTGAATTTATTGGATTCAGATGGTCACCCACAACCTATACCCTGGAACAAAATAGCACAACGTATTCCACATCGAACTGGTATTCAGTGTCAGGCTCGTTGGTCGGAAGCATTGGATCCATCAGTTAGAAAAGGTAAATGGTCACCGGATGAAGATGAAATTTTAAAAGATGGTGTCAGACGTTATGGTAGATGCTGGATTCGTATTGCTGAATTGATCGATGGCAGAACTCAGGTATATATTTAATACATACAGTCATAGCGGACCTCGCCACAGCGGACTATAATTAAATTCTTGTCATAACTGATTTTTAAAATTTTGCTTCACATAAAAACACATAAAAATTTCTTGTGTCTCGTTTATCCGCTGTGACAAGGTTTGACTGTATGCGTTGTACGCGCGCATGATTCTTTTTTAATTATATTATCTAAATACCATTCTCCTTCCCCATATATATAATATAGCGTCAATGTAGAACAAGATGGGTACAAATCAGGAACAAACAAGCTAAGAGTGAAAGAGACTCTATAGCAGCTAAAGCAGCCGTATCAATTAATGAAGTATCAGATGATGAAGGCGATGAAGATGAAGATGAAGATGAAGATGAAGATGATAACATGGATGAAAGTGAGGATGGTAATAATAATAGTATTAACAGTAACAGTAATAGTAATAGTGATAAAGAAGACATCAATAACAGTGATATTAATGATGATAGTAATAATTTGATCTTAACACCACCAATGACAAATCCTTCAGCACCTTCAACACCAAGATCTTCAAAAACGTCAACAGCAGCTGCCACTGCTATTATATTACAACATGCTTCACCATTTATTACTCCTGCTGTTACCACTACTTCTCCTATAATCAATAATACCTCACCTGATAATTTTTACCAATATTTTAATCAAAATGGTAATTATATATCACAGCAACCAAGCAATATTCGTCCAGATTTCTTTCTTCAACCTTCACCAAATACCATTAATAATAATAGTCTAATGTTTATCAAGTCTTCATCTAATCCTTTGTTGTCACCCGCTGAAACTTTATTAGCAACAACTCCAGAATCAACCGTTACAACGCCTGAACATTTTTCTACTACTACCACTTCTTCACCTGCCACCTCTTCACCTATATTTGAAAATTTTAATTTGATGGTCAGATCTGCTAATACTACTGCTATTAGTAACAATACCAGCGGTGATAGTGGTAGTGGTATCAATAATAGTAGCAATAATATTCATTCAACTCCTACAAAAAACATTGATGGTGGCAATGTTGATGGTGGTAATTTGATTGTTTTTAATCAAAATATGACGGACTCTCCTTTTCTTTATGATTAATTGATTAAGTTTTTTCAATATTGGTTTCTAATAAAAGGTGGGGGAGGTAATATATTTTTAGTACATTATGATTTTTTTTTCTTGTCATTAAGAATTTTATATTGGATAATTCCTTGGGGGTTTGGTTTTCAAATTGGTTTTTAAATTTATTTTTATTATTTTATTAAACCAAAAAAAAAACAATAATAATTAATAATAATTAGATATCAAAAAAAAAAAATATAAAAGGATTTTCTCCTTTTAAAAAAATGTACATTTTTTTAAAAAATTTCTAGACATTTATAACTTACATTCACGCACTCATAGATTATAAATCTGGTGTGTGCATAATATGTATATTATGTGTATTGTTTCTTTTCTTTCCTTTTTTTAATATATTTATGTAAATATAAAAAGTTTATAATACAATTTTTCAATTTTTCCAAACCATACTTCTAAAAAAAAAAAAAAAAAAAAAACAAATAAAATTAAATTAAATAATAAATAAATACGGTTTTTTTTAACCCCCCCCCAGAAAATTTTTTTGTTTTAATGACGTACAAGTATATTATATTAAATATATATCATTTTTTTGTTAATACATATACAAAATAATGAAACGAATCACCTACTAAATATAAATGAATATTGTTAATTATATATATGGTTAACGAATAAAATTAATCATTATAATAATACCCAAAGTTTCAATTTCCAAATTCCAAACTGATCTTTCCAAATATTTACGTCTAAAATGTGGTTGTCCAAATGTAATATATATAAACTATTCATATATTTGTGTGCGTGTGTGTATACATATAAAATATATATTGATTGTTATTGTTGTTCTTGTTGTTTTCAAATAATAACAATAATTAATTACCTTTCCTCCACTTTTCAATACCCTAATCAATATTTATAAAAATTACCAATAATCAATTAACCATAAACAAGTAAATTGATTAATAGGTCGGTGGTTAATTACCTAACAACTTGATCCACTTCTTTGCCAACATTTTCAATTACTTCAGGTTTAGGATTCCAAACATCACCTTCATCGCACATCAACGCATCCATTGTACCTTTATCGATCACAACATCAAATGACTCATCGTCCTTTAACATCTTTAAATCTCTAACATCCATCACCAACCCTAATAAATTACACACAAGTTATTTATTTATGGATTGAAAAAAGAATGTATTAACTAACTAATCAATGAGTGGCCTACATGACATCTTTGATCTATGCTTATTTTTTTCTTTCATATTATCAATTACAATATTCGAGAAATCAATATTTGTTATATTACAATATCCATCATCATACATATCTTCTGATAATGCTATACATATAGTAATTAGTAATTAATTAATCATAAAAATTGATTAATTAATAATAATCAGTAATAATAATACGCATGGGATTTAAAAAATATATTTACAAACTTGAATTTCCACATCCTAGCATTAATATCGAAACATTCTCATCAAGTAAATGTTTCTTAAACAAAGGCGATAGATCTTTGTAAGTTTTAAACCAATCGAATGTTTCTTCTCTTTTATTTTTGCCCCCCCAAAAAAAAATTTAAAAAAAATTAAAGGATATTAACAAGCAGATAATTAAGTAAATATATACTTTGAATATCTTTCATTCCAATATTCTTGAGTTTTATATGCTTTTACATCGTTTGGAATTATATTTACTAAATATAAATATAAAATAATATTAAATGATAATGATAATGATATTTATTACATTATATTATGTTTATTTTTGTTGACAGTCTTACAATTATTATTGTCAGTTGGTGACGACATTATTTTTTAATTTTTAAAAAAAAATTTATCAATTGATCAACTAATTTTCAAATTTTCCACATTTATTTTTTATTTTATTTACATATTATATTCAAAAAAAAAATTAAGACGTAATGTAAATTTTATTCCATATATTTAATATGTATATGTATATATATATATATATAATAAAGTGTAAAAATAATATAAATTTGTTGTGGCTAAAGCAAAAGAGAATAAGTAAATATAATATAATATAAATATTAGAAAATATAATATATGTATGTAGATATATTAATTATAATTAGAAATGAACCCACAACAAATAAAAATAACAGAGTGAGAGAGTGAGAGAGGAAAAATAAAAGCGAAAGAGAAGAAATTTAAGAAATGGAAATGAAAAAAAAAGATATTTAGAAAATAATTATAATGTAAAAAATATATGGCCAATTTTATATATATAATAATAGTAAGGATAGATTGAAAATAATTTTAATTTTAATTAATATTTTCTTCATCTCTTTGATGCCTTTTCTCGTGATTAAAGAAAATTGATTAGTAAAATTTTTTTATACATCTTTTTTTTTACTCGTCCTTTTGATTCTATTAATTAATTAAAATGATAAGAATGTTAATAGAATCATTAGAAGAAAAAAGATATATTATTACTCCTCACACACCAATAATATACAATATTTATATATACCTTTGGGTTATCAGCACTATTCTTCCATCGTTCAGCAACAAGTTTGAAAGCTGCCTTATGTTCAAGATTTGGATTTTCGGCTTTAACTTTTGGAAGTTCGGATTTCATAAATGCATTATATGGAGATAGTTTTCTTTTGCCACCTAGTTGGATATTTATATAATAGTAAATAGTAGAGATTTATATATATGTATATATAGATATATATATTATTAGTATTAATGTCATATATATATTGTCAAAAAAATAAAGAAAGAATAAGGGATAGAGAGGGAGCATTAGATTTTATAGTAAGAAATTAAAAATTTTTTTAATTAATTATAAAAAAAAAAAAAATTTTTTTTTAAAACATTTCTTTATATATAATCTTATATTAAAGCTGTAAATAGTCGTGGTATATGAAAAATGGAAAATAATAGTAAGAAAGAAGTAAAATAAAACGTGAAATAACGTGGACGTTAGGTTTTTCTTTGTTAATAAAGAAATAGTTCATAATAAATTTTTGAAATGACACGTTGTTGAATTATAACAAATGTAAATGCGTATTTATATATATATATTCTATTATATTTATATATATATATTCTAATGAGAAGAAATGAACGAATACTTACCAGTTGGAGATTTTTTGGTAGATTTAGCTTTAGGCATTTTTGTAAATAAAAACTTGAGGAAGATAATAAAATTATTTAAAAAAAATTTTTAACAAATGTAATAATAAAAGAGTAATGTATTATATATAAAGAAAAGGGAAAAAAGAATTAAAGCAATATATGTAAATAAGAATTATATAAGGTATTTCTCTATTTCTTATATATCATTTAGTAAATTATGGGGCGTAAATTATTGGCCTTTTTTGCTTTTTGAGAAAATTATTATTATTATTATATATAACGCCACAAATATATACATCATTGGGGTCACTTTGTGTGACTAATTATTAAAACATTGGTCCCTGAAAATTTTGACAACATGCCCCATAATATATATTCTACCAATTCGTTTAATATTCCCATATTACCCTGATATAAGCAGGCGAGGCAAAACTATACCTTTTGACAAAATATTCGTTACAATGATCTTCCATAAAGCTAGTATTAATTAATAATAATGGTAATTAGTATTATTTATTATTTATCATCCATCACATCCATCATTATATTTGATATAATCCAAAATAAACCCACTCATAAAGTTCCTGAAACAAAATCTGAATCTGTTGTGCTTTTTCTTCATTCATCTGGACATCATTTACTAAATCTGGTATCAATACTAAAATGTTCAAAAATCATAAACTGCTTATTATTATGTATTTTAATATACTCCAAAAATATGTGTATTTGTTTAAATATATTTTATTACATGCGTTTACCTATTAATCTCATTAAATGTTCTGCTCCGTAAATAGAAGCTGGTTGGTGATCAAGATATTTCTCGACGAGTTCCAGGTATTGTTGTCGTTCAAACCGATATAACAGAGATATTGGAAGTTCCTCGTTGAAATATATTTTCATTCCATTAATTGTCTCCGTCAATTCATGTTTTTGTGTTGTTTTCTTTACATTAGAGTCTGGTGATATATTACCATCAAGTTTTTCTAATTTATACTCTAAAAATTCATCTAAGATACAATTCACTGTCTTTTTACATGGCATTGGAAATACCAACTATATATATACATTTACATTTTTGAATAAAATAAATATCAAATAATAATTATTTCTCTCCCCCCAAAAAACATACCATTAGATCTTTAGTTATCCACTTCCATTCATCTACAAATTTTACCATTCTTTCATCCCTCATATTTATTTCGATTTTCTTTTTTTTGGTCTTCATCTGATCAAAATAAATTAAAAATTTATTAACGTTAATAATAAATAATCAATAACTAAAATCAAATAAATAAATGAAATATCAACCAATAATTTCCCATTAACTTGAATTATTTCAAATGGCAATCCATTTTTTTTGCTCTTCTCATTATCAGTTTGAACTTGGTCCAATGAAAAACCTTTTGGTGCAGATGATGATGATGATGATAATGATGATGAACTTGACGAAGATGATGAACTTGATCCTGCCGAAATATTTTTATTTTTCATCATCATATTATTATTGTTTAATTCATCGATTTTCTGTTGTGTTATTTCAAAAACCCTTCCTTCCGGTACCCACTCATCCCATCTTTTTTTTATATTGTTCAAAATATCAAAAAAGTTCATTAAAATTTTATTAAAAAGTTTTTAAAAATCAAAATAAAAAAAAAATTTTCAGATATTTTCGATTTACTTTTTATTCCATCCCTTATAATGTATGAAATATTGTGGACCTACTGTATCTCCAATAAAATTTATTTTTGAATCAAGAATCTAAAATTAAAATAAAATGCTTTAATCATCATTATTTGAAAATAAATGAATCAAAATTTATCAGTTTTGTTTATGTACTTGAGCTGGATAATATGTTGGTCCATGATAACAAAATACTGTTTCTCCTTTTTGAAATTTAAACATTTTCCCCCCTTTTTATCTTTCACCCTCTCAAAAAAAAAAAATAATAAAACAAAAGGAATTTATAATGATCTACGCATAAATAAATACAGGACCTCGATTTTTTGATTGGTTACCCCAAGATTTGAGTACGTCCGTCTTTTAAAGTAGAATTAGAAATATATTGTATTAATTTTATTAAATAAGTGTGTGTATAATATAAATATAAATATATATATATATGTACAGTATTAATCTATATACTACATAATAATTTCTAATAAAATAATCTAAATGATTTTAAATAATAGTTTATTAGTTGCTTCAATATTTGTATGAATGTTTAATTTTGTTTGCATCTTTTTTAGCTAGATATTGTAATTTATATTTTATATATTCTAATATTTCAGTATTAGTAGGAATTTCTTCAGTTGGAATCCAATCAATCAAAAGTTTCTTTATTTCATTTGCATCTTCAACTAAACCAATTGAATAAACATAATTTAATGCTGGTAAAATAGTTCTATATTTGCTTGGTTTAATACTCAATTTTTTCATTAATCTTAAAGCATTCAAAATATTCCTACTAAATCCATGTCTTCCCAATAAATTAATGAAACTACCAAAATTATTTACATTTAATGTTTGATTCTGCTTCAATAGGTTCTGAAAAAATTTAATTCCGTGGTAAGCCTCGTTGTTGAATGAACACGAATCAATGAATATAGTAAAGGTTGAATTATCTGGTTCAATATTGAGTTCTGATTTCATAATTGAGTAAAGATAGAAAACTTTATCAACATATCCCAAACGATTACATGCATCCATTAAACAGTTAATACATGTAGTATCTGGGCTAATACCTTTGGTCCTCATCTGGTCAAAGATTTCAAATGCCTTATCTAACTGATTATTATTTGCATAAACATTCATTATAACACAATATGTGTACTGATTTGGTTCAATATCTCCTTTTCTCATGTCATTAAAAAATTTTATTGTTGAACTGAAATTTCCTAATTTGGCACTTGCATCCAAAAGAACTGTATATGTGTAAATATTTGGTTTTATGCTTTCCTCAAGCATTTGTTGATATGCTATTATTGCCGCCTTTAAATCCAAAACTTTTGCTTTGGCATTAATTAATGCCGTGTATGCTACAACATCTGATTGAAGTCCCTCATTTCTAATCAATCCAAAAATTTTATCCAACAGTGCTGGATCATTCTTAAAATCTTTTGTCAATGCAACCATTAATGATGTAATATTCTTTAGATTTGGTTGTATTCTTGATAGAATCACCATATGTCTAAACCATTTCACTGCCTCCTGAAAATTACCTGTTCTTGCATATGCAGTAATCAGTATACAGTAAGTATATATGTTTGGTCGTACATTTGCTTCTTCCATCTGATTAAAATATTTTATACATGAATCTAAATCCATCACATTTCCATGTGCCTCGATAATACCTGAATAGCTTAAAACATTTGGTGGTATGTCTACTGATTTCATTTTACTAAACAACTTTTCTGCGAGGTCAACCTTGGAAAGTTTTGCACAAAAATTTATCAATATGTTGTATGTGCAACGATTAGGTTTGACATTGTTTTTTGACATTTGTTGTAAGATCTCAAGCGCATTTTCTAATTTCTTTTCTTTAACATGACCTGCCATTAAAATATTATAGTAATGTGTTGATACTCGTTTACATTGCATTTTCCTCACGGATGAAATTAATTTTAAAAAATTTTCAGCATCGTTGATCTTATTAGCTTTTACAAGTTCCGTTAGTAAAATAGAATGCATTTTATTAGGTATTACTTCTTGATTGCCATTTGAAATTATTTTTTTAAATAATTCTATTGCTCCTGAAAGATCTTTATTAAACAATTTATTAACTATTTTTAAATAATTGTCCAACCATTCAAAATAACAAGTTTCGTTTTTTTTTTTTAAAGTTTCTGTCACTATTCTAGCTTTGATTAAATCATTATTCTTGATCAAATATATCAACAACTTCATCTCAAAAATATGTCCTATTTTATATACTAATTTAGATACTTTTATTTTCATATAATACGTCCAAATTTCTTTGATATTATTTTTGTGAAGATATAATGTCTGAAAATTTCCTGATCTTAAAAAATAATCAGTCATTGTCGACAAGCTATCCTCTCTATATCTATTATAATTAGATGTGGTGATGTTGGTGGCACTGGTATGAGGAAGATAACGATGATATTGTTGTTGATGTTGGTGTTGATTTTGTTGTAGAGATAGATTTTGTTGATGTTGAAAACTCTTATAATCGTTACTTAATTTCTTAACTACCAATGAATTATTATTGTTATTATTTGTTTGGTGAACTTTAATATTATTTTTATTAAGCTTATTACGCTTGTCATAAAGGTGTTGTGAAATATTATTAAATGTACATAATCTTTTAGTTAGTTTCATATTATATTCAATTTGTATATAAAATGAAATAAAATTTCATAGCTTTATTGTAAGTCAAATGTTTTAAAGCAAAATTATTACTTTAGTCGCGTTTCTTTATAAAAAATATCATTATCATCCATCAATCAAAAAATGAACGTTTTAAAAAAAATTTTGATTCTGTGATCGACGATGATAATCAAAATTATTTTTTAAAAATGGCCGCCATACTTGAAAAAGTTGCTAAAGTTGCTGCTTCGCTTGGTGTTGCAGCAAGCTTGTTACAATTTAGCATATATGATGGTATGTAACTGAACGCTTATGCAAATTTAATTATACTTATACTTATATATATATATATTGTAACGAAGTTAGGGGAGGACAAAGAGCAGTGATATTTGATCGTATTAAGGGAGTTAAAGATACATCAGTTGGTGAAGGGACACATTTTCTTGTCCCATGGTTACAACGTGCCATAATTTACGACGTTCGTACAAAACCACGTAATATTGCAACAGCAACTGGTTCAAAAGATATGCAAGCAGTCAGTTTGACTTTACGTGTACTCCATAAACCAGTTATTCAACAATTACCTCACATTTATCAAACCTTGGGTTTAGATTATGATGAAAGAGTATTGCCATCAATTGGTAATGAAGTGTTAAAGGCAGTTGTTGCACAGTTTGACGCAATTGAATTAATCACACAGCGTGAAGTGGTAAATTTAATTAATTAATTAATAATAATTTAAAAATGCGTATTAATTAAGAGAATGATAATTGTTATTTTTGATGTTTTGTTTTATAATTTAGGTGTCCTCAAAAATACGTGAAGATCTTGTAAAAAGATCTAGAGAATTCAATATCGAGTTGGAGGATGTTTCTATTGTAAATATTTATCATTTTTTTCTATCACATTTTCTATCTGCCATTTTATGTATTATCTTTTATCATTTATATTATCTTACCAAAAAAATTTTTATACTTTATTGAAAAGACACATATGACTTTTAGCACTGAATTTACACAAGCTGTAGAAAAGAAACAAATAGCAGAACAAGATGCTGAAAGAGCGAAGTTTATTGTTGAAAAGGTCATAATATTTTTATTTTTAAAATTTTATTTTTATTTTTTTATTTCAGTTCACGTATAAATAAATGTATATACGCTTTAGGCTGAACAAGAAAAACAAGCAGCTATTATTCGTGCAGAAGGAGAAGCAGAAGCTGCTGATAAAATTATAAAAGCTCTAGATAAAGGCGGTGAAGGATTGGTACAATTACGTCGTATAGAAGCATCCAAAGAAATTGCTGCGACATTGGCCAATTCGCGAAATATAATGTATATACCTAGTGGTGCAAATGGTGGTGGTGGATCTAATTTATTGTTAAATTTAGGTCTTTAAAGTTAAAGATTAAATGTAATTGAGGCTAAAATTAAAGGCAATGAATGAGTGATGCATTATATAATATAACATATACAATATATTAATAAATCAATCAAATTTTAATTTTTTAATGATTATTTTTTATACATAATGTAATTATCATCCTTTATTTTTTATGACATTGATCGATCATTCATACATATTAATATGTATCGTTTATCATTTCTCACTCCAGCGTTAAAATTTTCAATTTAAAAAAATTTTTTTTTTTAAAATTGAAGTTTATAGATTTCTTGTTGTCTGATGATGTTGATTAATAAGATTAAATTCTATCTTATCTAAAATCGTTTATTACAAATACAGTCTTTCCAAAAGTTGCTAATACAGAAATAATAAAGGTAATCGGTACACTCCATCAGAACTGACTGATGAATCGCCATTAATACATGCAAAATTGGTGTTTAATTATTATCTTAATTATTACGAAATCTTTATATTTAAGTAGTTTTACAACCAAACATATTACACAATATATTTTAAACCTGAAATTTTGTAATCAGGGTTTTACTAACCGTTGTTGCAAGTTTTAAAAGTTAGTAATTATCACCATTACGATTAATTAATTGATGCAAACAAAAACATAATAAAATTAGTTTATTACTATTGAGAATAGAGGAATGGTTAAACCAACAATACCACATTCAGAATTACGAGGCAACAACAAACAACAACACCAACAATATTGTATTATACAATATCTCACATGATATCTCACATGAAGTCTATTTAATTAACGTTTATATTGGAATGCGCTTCATCGCGTACTTGCTGTACATGCTACTTATAACAACAATTATTAACAGATTTATCCAAAAATGGATTAACTATGTTGAACCAAAACGACCTTTTTATATTATAAACCAAATAATCTGTTTAGCAGGGGATAAATAAAACCCTGGGGTAGGACAAATAAATTCTTACTATACCTCCTACCTGTCCTATAGAAAATTTCACCAGTGAAAAAAAAATATTAATAAAACTTTTCTTCAATGCAAGGTATTTTCTATAAATGGAACTTGTTTATAAAATTTATAAAAGTAGAAGAAATAAATGAAGTTTTTCTAACAGACTATGTAATTTTTTTTTTCTTAAAAGACACTATTGATACTACTGAAAAATTTATTGATAATGGTGGTAGTGATGTTAGATCATCGACCAGTCAGCAATTAACAGAACCTACACAATCTCCATCAAACACTACAGCTTCAACCCCAAAGCCAAATCCAATATATTCAGCGGTATATTCCGGTGTACCAGTTTATGAGTTTCTTGTCAAAGATGTTGCTGTTATGCGTAGACGTCCAGATTCTTATTTGAATGCAACACAAATTTTAAAAGTGGCAGGTCTGGATAAGGGTAAACGCACAAAGATCATAGAGAGAGAAGTATTAACAGGTGAACATGAAAAAGTACAAGGAGGTTATGGAAAATATCAAGGAACTTGGTAAGAATAAATTATAAATTATAAAATTCTTTTTTATTCGCACGGTTGATTATATACATGATCGATTTCATCATCGTCATCACCATCATCAATGTTTATTATTTCAGGATCCCTTTTGAAAAGGGTAAAGAACTTGCTACAAAATATGGCGCTCTTGAAATTTTACGCCCTATTCTTGAATACATACCACCAAAACATGATGTTCCTTATTCATCATCTCCATACACTCCAACTAAAGAACAAGCCATGGCAGCTTTACGCATAAAAGCTAAATCTAATCAATCTAATGAACATTCCAATAATAATAATGATATCAATAATAATATTAAGATCAGTATTCTTAACACTTACAATAATAATAGTAGTGGCACCGTTGAGAATAATAACGAAGAAGAAGAAGATTTGGCAGCTCTAACATATTCAGAACCTGTTAGTGAATCAGCAACAGCAGCCAATTCACCACCACCTGAAATTGATGAGAGTGAACGACTCCGGAATATTTTAATGACGATATTTTTGAATGAGGAACCAGAATCAATACTAGACTTATTGGTTCCTCAAAATTTATCTGAACCTGACATAAATATGGTGATTGATATTCATGGGAATTCTGCGATACATTGGGCTGCATGTTTAGGAAGAGTAAATATCTTGGAAATGTTGTTGAAGAAAGGTGCTAGTCTGCAACAAGTGAATTATGACGGAGAGACTGCTTTGATCAGATCTGTATTTGTGATAAATAATTATGATTCCCAGTCATTTCCACAAGTGGTAAAACTACTTCATGACACAATCCCAATTACTGATAAAGATGATCGATCGGTGTTACATCATATTGCAATGTCTTCAGGCGTTAGAGGGCATGCAGTAGCATCAAAATATTATATGGATTGTTTAGAGAAATGGTTTCAATCAAATGTTTGCGGATTTCTCAATACTATTTTGAACATTCAAGATAAAAATGGTGATACTGCATTATGTATTGCTGCAAGAGTAGGAAATAATGAATTAGTTGAAAAATTGACCAGAATGGGCGCTAACACTGATATTCAAAATAAACTTGGATTGAAACCTTCCGATTTTGTTTTTAATCAACATGATAATGATGATGAAGATGATGAAGTTCATGTATGTATATTTTTTTTACATATATATGCATGTAAGTATATATAATACGTATTTATATTTATATTTATATTTTTTTTAAATAAAAAGAATATGGAGGATGTAAAGGAAGAAGATATGGATATAGATATGATTCAAGAAAATGTATCGGATTTCTTTTCTCAATCAATTACACCATTTGTTAGTAATCGTAGGAAATCTAGAGAAGTTGTTTCAGGTAAAAAAAAATTTTGATTTTTTTGATTTTTTTGATTTTTTCTTTTAAAAAAATCATATATATAATTATCTATATAATTTTAATAAATCTAACATTTAGCATTGCAAAAACTTGTGGAAGATGCAGAGAATGAATGGATAGTACAACTTAAGGTTAAAGAAGATGAATTATTTAATGCTCAAAGTAGATTTAATGATCTGACAAGACAACTTATTGATTTGAAGCGATCATTACAATATTATCGTCAAAATGAAAAGGAATACAATAACACAGAAGAATACTTGAAGTTTCTGGAACAAGTAATTAATGAAGTAGAAGAAGAAGATAATGATTCTATACATAAGAAACATAGGATAAATCATGATGATAATGTATTATTAAATAAACCTGTGGTTAATAATAATAACAATAATAGTGATAATAATATTTTATCAAGAATTACAACTATTCCTCAGCAGAATAATATTGATACTAACAACCTAATAAATACTACTTCTTCACAAGAATTATCACAACAAACACATCAACAATTACACCAACCACAGCCAATAAATTCCCATCCACATTCACATCAAATAATAAAAAATGGTTTAAATAATTATAATGAATCAGCTGAATCCACAACTACTGCAAATAATAAGAATAATAATTTAGATTCATCATCACCATTATCACCGTCAGTGAATAGAACTTTATTGGATAATGTAACATCATCTGCCTCCACAACACCACCACCACCGCCACCATCACTGCCACTAACACATATACTATCTCCACCTCCATCATCAAATGTACCATCATCAACACTATCATCAATAGAATTGCTTCAAAATAAAAAGTTTGACATACCATCCATATCAATTACCCAACCAACAATTGCAACACCGTCATCATCAATATCAACTAACAATTCAAACCAGGCAGTAATAGGTTCGGCTGTTAACGTTGAAATTACTCCCACTAGTAGTGGCAACGAAAATGAAATGTCTGAAAAAGAACTGAAAACACTTCAAGCTCAATTATCAGCATATCGAGTTGACAAAGATTTACTTCAACGTGAAATTGAAAAATTACAAGAGAAGTCATTAAGTGCAGAGTTGCAATACAAACAAATTATTTCCACTTGTTGTAAAATTGATCTTGATAAAGTGGATGATTTTGTGGAAACTATATTGGGAGAAGTTGATAATGATCTTGAAGACGAATTTAGTTTGGGAAGGATAGGAGAAATATTGGGTAAATTGGATAAAGAAGCTTCGCAATTGTAAATTATAGCGAGGATGAATTTTTCCATTTTAATTTATAGACATTTAATATATATATTTATCTATAATAATAATAATTATTATTTTATTTTGGTAATTAGAATTGTTTTGATGTAAAGCAACCATTTTTTTAGTAATTCTTTTCGTAATCAAAATATATTATTATTATTATTAATTATTTGAAGTATTGTAAATGTTAAATTCTCTAATGAGCAAAAGAAAAAATTCAAAAAAAAGTAGCTGATGTTTTTTCAAAGTATTTATATATATATATATATATATATTATTCTATTTTTTTAGATTTTACTGTATATATTAATTAATGTGTAAAAATAATTAAAATGCTTTCACGTGATTTTAATAATATTTCCAGTGATAAAATTATGTTAATGAGCAATTTCTCTAGTATCATACGTCGTTCCTTTCAAACCTCTAGTGTTAAAAATAGGTTCGAACCAAGTAAAGGGAAAGGTGTCGTGGGCTTATATGAATTCTTTCAAAACGGTGTTGATAGTCCTAATCCTTTACCTAGGACTAACGAGCTTTATCCTGTTGGTAAATATATACACATGCAATAATATAAGAATATTTATCAAGAGCATTAAATAATTGGATTAATTGGATTTTATTTGGATTCTAATTGGTTGCTAATTAACATATCTCCATAACGCACACAAAAACATGTAAATTTATCATTTTTCTTCAAAAAAAAAAAAACATTTGACTAAAGGTAATTCATGGCAAGCATCAGTACTTCGTACCAAATCCTTTGAAGATCTTCACAGGCTTTGGTATATACTGTTGAAAGAACGTAATATGTTGGCTACAATGTATGAAGAAGCTAGAAGATGGCGTAAAGTCGTTAATCCTGAATGGATCAATAGACATCATGAAAGATCATACAAGGTGGGTTGACAACTTTATCCATTCTTTTTTAAAAAAAATTTTTTTAATGTGAGTGTATATATTCTCTAAATGGTTTTTTATTTGTTAGTGCCAAAAATCAATGGCAAGAATTAAATTTGTGCTGAGTGAGCGTAGGGTAGCTTATGAACATGCTAAAAGAAAATACCCTGCTCTGTTTGGTATTAAAAAAGTTCCTAAACCTCATAAAAGTTATCGAGAACCATCTTCTTCACCTGGGCGGGTGATTACGCGTCATACTATTTCGCGCTAATTTTTTATCATACATATATAAAAAATACCAATTATTAATTAAGACTTGATCCTTGATTCCTAAATCTTAATATTAAAAATAAAAAATAACACCTTGATCAAAATGATATTCTGTATTAATGATATTGTAATAATATAATCGAGGCAGGTGGTAGGTAATAGTATTCCTTCCCAAAATCCTTTTGAATTAGTACAGCCAATGTGAAGAACGTGATTATTAAAGTGTTTATATAGAACTAGTAGCTCCTCTGTTCAGAGTAATCGTTCAATTAATAATGATGAAGAGGACAGGTAACAAGGAAACTTCCATACATTGCTATCAATAAAAGACTTAACTCTAGGATTAGTAAAAAAATTTTTTAAAAGACTTGATAGAAATTTGATAATAAAAACGATGACAACCTTGATAGTGATTTCAGTGATAACATTAAGCGTGGCAATAGTGATAATGATAGTGCTGTGAATTTACCATGGTTAGAAAGTATAACAGATCAAGTCCAATGTTAAATGAGGATTCATAATATAAATATGTGCTTCAGAACATATATGTCATAGTTTATTACATCTTCTTGAGATTTCAAAGATCATTTCTATAATAAAAAGAGTAAAAATAAAAGTTTAATAATTAATAAAAATATTCATTTAATAAATTTTCGTTTATGGAACTTGTACTAAATATATATAGATCTGATATTGATGGAAGCTGCTGATATACTTTTATTCCAAGATTCAATGAGTGAAATTCAATACATAATTCTTTTCTTTTTTAAAAATAATTTTCACATACAACATCTATATTCGATTATATCTTGTTATTTTCACAATTATTCATAATTGATTTATATCATCATCAACCATTATTTATTTTATACAATTAAACTCGAAACAAATATACTATAATATTTCAATATAATATTTTAATATTCAGTAATTTAAAATTAACATTTATAATATAAAATCGAATATCCAAATTAAATCCACTTCTGTTAAATAATAACAAAGATGATAGTAATAATAATAATATAACCAAAAGATCAATCAAGCTTTAGCAAAAATAATTTCAATTAGACAATTTTGAAGACGAAGATAACTGTTGATGTTGTAATTGTATTTGTTTAATTTGATGTTGATAATGTTTCATCACCCAGTCTCTCACAAAAATACTAGCCTTCATAAATTTCTTGGTAGAATATTTTAAATAGAGTTGATCAACATGTTTGTTGTTTATTATCAAATATTGTAAAATAAGTTTTGACCAAGGTTTAATTTGTTCTTCTGTATATGTGGAGTAATGAATCAAATTTGCAGTCTATATAGACATATATATAATGAAAGTTATAAATGATTATGGTCAAATAATAAATGAATGAATATTAATTATCCCCCATATATATACCCAATACTAACCCATTCACCACATTTAAGCATTATACGAGCAAGGTATAGTGAAGCTGCAGCAATCATGGATGGTTTACAAGTTAAGAATGCATGATCAAGGAGGGTGATTTCCATTAGGTATTTGGCCACAGTACGAGCTGGAATATAATAGTGATCAGCTCTTGAGATCCGTCTAAGGAAATTCATTGGATTAGGATAATTCAACTTGTAATCAATAGTTTGTAATACGTATCGTTCTGCATTGAGAATGTCTTCGTCTGTGTAGCCTTCTTCAGACATATATATATAATTTTTGATGGATGGAGCCAAAACTTCTTCATATTTGCCTGAAATAAAAAGTGCAGTAATACCTACAAGTTGTAATTTGACCATGGAGACTACACGTTCAGACAAAAATCTATCAACTATGTTGACTGTTAAGAACAGGGTTTCAGGTAATAGACGAAATTTGTAATGAACTTCGATAAGCCAGTCAATGAGAATTATTCTCATTCTCCAACTTAATTCTATTTGATTCTCCATGTAATTGGGTTTTGGCATCGTTTCACCCTATTAATTAATGTTAATAATGTAATTATTCCTCCAAAAGAAAAATAAAATAAAAAAATAGATAAACCATACTTCTAAAATTCTCAAATAATCAAAAATTTCCACAGCATATTCTGCCACCGTCATGGGATCATACATATCCTCAAGATCAAGATCATCCCATTCTTGTGTTCTTATTTTTTTTGCGCGCGTTTTTTCTAATTCAGCCTCATAGTTTACAGCTTCTACAGTTGTAACCAATACTGGGTCAATAGCTACATAAGGTTCATTTCCATTTGTTATGTTTGTTGTTGCTGTTTTTGTAGATATTGCTTGTTTTGCGACAGTTATAGCTTTTGTTTCTATTGCTTTTGTTTGATTTTCTTCTATTTTTTGTTTTTTCTCAATTACGTTATTATAATTAATGTTATTAGGAATTTGTTGATTCTTTAATTGTAGATTTCGTGCAACATCTGCTGTTCTTTTTTTCAAATTCGCGGATACTGGTAAGATGACGTTATTATTTCTAATATTCGCCGATTCTTTATTATTGGCGTTATTGAGGTTTGAAGATATATTTGGAAGATTATTAATATTACTAACATCATCTAAAGCTACTCTTTTCCGATCGATCAAATTATTGTTGTTGTTGTTATTATCATTACTTTTAGTAGTAGTAAGAGTAGAAGTAGAAATTGTAGTATTGATTTTTTTAAAAGTCGATGCTGATGATGTTGATGGATTATTGGTAATAGCATTAATAGATGAAGCAGATATCTTTGAATTGATATTTGTATTGGTCAAGTTGACTGCTGTTGCAAGACTAGATTTTTTGGTGGAAACCATTTTTTGTTGAGTTGCTATTGCTATATTTTCATTGCATTGTGAAGCCAAGGTTTTATTATGTGGTTGAGCCTATGTATAATATGTATATATCATTAATCAATTAATTATTCTCTTGCGTAAAGATATATATGATGTTATTATATATAAGAACCTGTTTCTTTTTTTGTCGGCTTTCTAAATTATTTGTGAACATCTTTTATCTTATCTTATTTATATGTATGTGTATATAGATATATATATGAAGGAGTAAAAATCTCGCCTAAATCTTTATAATTTATGATTTATATGTATATGTATGTATATAAACAATTAGTAATTTAATAGTTTTACAAAGTTATTCATAATATATACGAATATAAATAGGCATTTAGTATATGTATATTTTAGACCTTAGAATTATTAAATTTAACATATATATCTTTAAGAGGGATCCAAAAGGCAAAAACAACAACAATAACAGTAATAATAATATAGTCAGTCAGTCACCTTTAAAAAAACTTTGGTCAAAAAAAAATTTTCCTTTTTTTTCTATGAAAAAATTATTTACGATATATTTAACGACAAAGTGAAGAAGTTCGCGTGATTGATATCAAAACATCTATAACAGGGATATCACATGACTTGAAAATAAAATTAATCGCGTTTTGAAAATTAACCCCCCAAAATAATAAGATCAATCAATAATTATGGAATGATAAAAGTTGGGCTTAAATTTAGCATTAGTAAGAATGTCAGAGAGCCAGAAGAAACGTTGAAAGCACCTTAAGCGATGCAGAATTTAAATAAAAGTTGGATAAAACAGTCGAATTATGACATTAATACGTACAAGATATAAAAATAGAAAAATTACATGTATTACAAGATCAAATAGATATGAAAGGGTATGAAAAACATTTGAATACCTTATAAAAGAAGAAAGTAAACCACCAAGACATATAGTAAATTATGTATAGAGGCAAGCGAAGCATTTGAATATGTATAAATGATGCGAGAAGAGCATTAGAAGAGTAGTTGGTGATGATGAATTAGAAGAAAAAGAAGTTGGTGAAGAATTAGAAGTTGATAGATAGGTTAGAAGAATAAAGTCAAGATCATAATTATTTGATGTATGGGACAAAATGATTATAAACACCTATAATCCCATTACAAATGATTGCAAATTTGTTTCATTAAATTTCTCTCGAATATTCTAGCAATTGTTTGTCGCTCGTTTTTTGAAAAATAATCAAATTGATTTTAAATTTATCATTTGATGCAATTTGATTGGGATTATAAATATTAATGACCTATATAGGAGAAAAATCCAAATTTTGGTTTGATGTTTTCCCAATTCCTTTATTTTTTTGGTTCTGTCCAGCCCGCAAGAAAGTCTCTATGAATTAGAATATAGGTTGATTTGCATTTCTTTCAGAGGTTGGCAACCCACGAATAAGCTTTAGCATAGTTTCTAGAAAAATAATCCATTTACCATTTTTGATTTTCATTAAAAAGACCGATGATGTTCCAAAATATAAACTTATTTCCAGCGTATTATTAAGATAAGTTTTTGACAAAGAGGCGTAATCTCAGCAGTAGAAGGTTCTTTTATTGGTTCGAGTTTCTTTTTCTCATATTTTTTGTTTCACCATCCATTGTTTTTAAGTTAGTTGGGCCATCAAGGAGACAGCTTGTTCTGATTTAGAAAAGCCCACACACTTCAACAACAAATTCCTTTGGACGAGCAACCACAATTAAAGCCTCCATAGAACCATTATGATGTTTGTTACTTCATATGATAATGGTACCACTTTTGAATATGACCTTGAAGCTCACAAAGTAATATTGGAACCTATTTGTTAATATATTTTATTTTATGAAACTAGAGATATGCATCCCGATGATCATCATTATTGAAGTCCTTTTTTATCTTTACAACACCAATAAGGTTGAAAGAGCAAGGTTTACCCTTATCGGCTGTTCTATCGGAAAGAATCTGCAAATTTTCTTGTATGCTTATTGATTCACGACTGTAAATTCAAAAAATAGGTTTTATTATTATTACAATCAAAGATACCTACAAAATTTTTGGTGTTACCATTATTAAAAATAAAAAATTGGTTTTATTAAAAAAAAAAAAAATCAGAAATCAAATAAATACAATTAAGAAGAGAAGAAAAAAGAATTATTGTTCACCAGGAAAATAAAAAATATTTATATATAAACAAAAAGAATAATAGGTGAAGAGAATATATTGCGAAGATAAGTTATGCATTGTATATTGTGGAGAAAGAAATAAAATAAAAAAAATATGATGTTTAAATATAAATAATAAGGCAATAAAAAAAGATTTATACAAAATAAATAACATAATATAACATAATATATTATATGTAGTATATAACTCTATCTATATACTAAAATAAGATACAACAAATGTATAAAAATATATATTATTATTATGTATTATGTATTATTATTTATTATCATTATTACTATTGTTAATGTTGCTAATATTTTTACTAACAAATGAGAATGAAGATGTATCACTAGTTTCTAATTGTTTAAATTTTGATTCTAATTTTACCATTTGATTACTTTGTACGTCTACAGTATTTTTAAGATGTTTTATATAATCAACAGATTTTCTTAGAATCAGACCTTTGTTGGGTTTATTAGAAGAATCCATAAATACATCTGGAAGTAACCTAGAAAGTTCCTGAATTTGCTCATTAATGTTATCTCTACGACGACGCTCAACTTAATAAATAATAATGTACAGATAATAAACATGTTAACATATAATAATATATATAAAGTGCGCACGCGTGGGTGCACGTGTATGTAAATATGATATTTACCAGCATTATGTGATTCTCTTCTACGGCGTTTCTTTTCACTTAACATTGCACTACAAAAAAGTAAATGCATAAATATAAATATATTCATATTATATATATTCAATCCCATTCATCACCATTCATAAAAATACATACGCCTTTTGTGCATTACCATCCCCCCCATCTGGATCCATGATAGTAGACAAATAATTCATTTCAGGGGTAGTAGTAGAATATAACAATGGATAAGAAGAACCTGTTTCAAAATTTGGATTAAACCATTCACTATTATTAGCGGCAAATTGAACCGGTAAAGACATACTCGTTTGAGAATTGTAACTGTTATGAGGTGAATCGGCGGGGTAAGGCGAAGGAATTTCTAGAATTTCTATATGATTTTGAGGATTGAAGGGTTGACCAAACTCTTCAACATCGAGATTTGTAGTAGGCGATCCTAGTGGAGAATCTGATTGCGGTGATAGGAACTGCTGATGATGATCGAAGTCCATTTCAGTTTGTTGAATATCGGTAGATTCTTGTTTTATTACGTTTGTAGCTCCGTTGTAAGAAGGTTGATGTAGCTGTTGACCTGCTGTTATAAGAGTAGGGTCTATTGTAGAACCGTTGTTGAAAGAGTTGTTTGGAGTTGGAAGAGATCCGTTGTTAGGAGCTCCATCGTTAGGAGCTCCAATGTTAGGAACCCCATCGTTTACAGCAATAGCTTTTTGTTGATGCCTTAATTGAGTTTGTTGTTGTTGTTGCCTTAATTGAGTTTGTTGTAAATGATAATTCGTAGGATGTGAAAGACGAGGAATTGGTTGTGGTGAAGTCTGAATAATATTTATTCCTTGTTGATGTTGTTGTTGTTGTTGATGTTGATGTTGATGTTGTTGTTGGCCATATAATCCTAGTAGTTGGTGTTGTTGTTGTGGATTCATTTTATAATTTTGGAATAAATGTGTTTTATTGTTTCAAATATATATAATTTGTATATATTTATTTATTTAAGTATAATTAATATTTAGAATTTAAAGAAAAAATATTTATAATTGATATTATTTATATTTATAATATATACAAAATAAAGTTCTTTCTGTGTACGTTTGTGGATTCTTGAGGAAAGAAAAAAAGAAAAAGAAAAAAAAAAAGATAAAAAAAGAAATTAAAAATTTATTAATTTACTTACGCCTAACACTAAGTAAAAAAGATTCTAAATTATAAAAAATAAAGTAAAAAAAAAAAAAAAATGTGGGGAAATTGTATTTTTTACTGATCAATAGTAGTTTTATGATATCATAGTTCTTTTTTATATTTTAAAGTATAATATTATTGTGAGTATAAATTTATTTTTCAAAAAATCCTAGAAAAAAAAATCTTTGAATACACAATATCTTTTTTTTTTTGATTGAATTGTTCTTTTTATCTTTATTTCGTTTTAAATAAAAAAAAAAGTATTGGCGGCTTATTCTCTTTTTTCTTTTGAACTAAAAAAATATTTATTTTTTCTTTTGAACTAAAAAAAATATTTATTTTTTTATTTATTATTTTTTTCCAAATGGATATTTTTATTTTATAACTCCTTTAACAGTCAATAATAATATATTATGTTTCCTACACCCCTGATCAACTAACTAATTATTCGGTTTACTGGAATATATTTGGATGTTGTTTAACATATTACAACATTGACATAAAAAGTAGTAATAATAGTAAATTTTTTTAAAAAAGAAAAAATCTGAATTGGTTAGTGCAATTTATCGATGCTAATTTATTTCTGTAAAAGATGTGAAGAATAAAATATTTCAGAACATCAAATATAAGTGTATATATAAAATTCAGTGTTGGTGTAATGTCATATATTAGTATTTTTGCAGATGATTTCTAAATTTGTAAAAATCTGCACTAGTTACACACCGAAAATGAGATTTTCGCAGTAACCTATTACTATCACATTTTTGGAAATAATTTACGGGATCATCGCAACGTATCCTAATTAAGAAAAGATATTCGATTTTGAAGGCCAAAATTGAAATGTACTACTTTAATTTTCCGGTTTTTTTCCGGCAAATTTTATTATTTTCCGGTAAATATTTTTTAATTATTATTATTATTATTATAAGAAAATTTGTGTGCTGCCCTAAGATTATTCGGGGTCCTGTTTTTACAATGTTAAGGGTTAACTTTTAAAGTTTCACGTATCGTTTTAAGTTGTTGGAACTTATAAGGTTGATTTGCGTGTTGTGTATTGTGTAACAAAAATAAAATTCTTTTCCCGTTATCATTAAAAAATGCTGCCATCAGTTAGTACCGAAGAACAAACAATAAAATTTACAGGACATCTTGGAAATTTGAGTCTAGAGCATTAGAAAAGCTTCGAAAAGACTTAACTATGAAGGTTTATTTGACGAGAAACGACATGATGATGCTTGTTTACTCAGGTTTTTAAGAGCAAGAAAGTTAAAACCAAAAAATGTTTATTGATTGTGAGAACTGGAGAAAGATTTTGCGTTGATGAAAGATAGTTGACCTGTTTATATTGAAGAAATTGATATTAAACCTTTATATCAGGTTACCACACTTGAACGATAAATTCAAAATTTAGTGGTTGAATATGAGAAACTTGCTGATATTAGATTACCAGCTTGTTCAAATACGGCAAACTTATTGAAACAACATATACAATTTTGGATCTTTAAAGGTGTTTCTATTCTATCATTTTCTGGTGTTTTTGGATTTGTGAACAAACATCTAATATTATTCAAAATTATTACCCTGAACGTCCAATGCTTTTCTCTTCTGTTTAGAGTTTAATAGAATTTTACCATTGCTTGATGGGGTTACAGCCGTCCAAGATCACAATTTTGAATCACAAGTATCAACGAATTTTTTGAAAAACATTCCAGCTGAAAATTTACCAGTTGTTTTTGTGGACAATGTAATTGTTAATTTCTGATGATGGTCCATGGCAAGAAGAAAGTCAATAATTTCTTCTTATTCGTAGATTTGTCACTAAAGAATTAGCATTTTTATATTAAACAACTCTATTTTTATTTGTATAGTTAATTCTTGATTATTATTATATAAAATCATTTATAATAATAATAATAATAATAATAATAATAATAATAATAATAATAATAATAATAATAATAGTCGTTAGAATTGTAATATTATTCATCATAATCATTGTCATCATAATCACCACCACCATCATCAAGCCTTTTTACAATCAACTTTCTTCCCGCCCATGCATTTACACGTTTAAAGCATAAGGCTATACCTCATTTTCAAATTTGGTTTCTTAAATATTTAATTTTGCAATTTATATTAATTCTTTATTAAACCATTGTAATTTGAGAATACATACCCGAACATAAGCCTCTTGTACTAAGAAGGGAGTTACCCTACGGGTCAAAAATGGCTCCAGATCATGTTTGTAATTATATATACTATTATTATACACAATACAAATCAAGTTCTTTTTTCCCAACAAAGAAAGGTCGAATTACATTTTTTGTACTTTCCCATAACTTCTCTGGAATAGTGTCGGAGGACCCGCGAGTACGTTACATTTCTATTATTATTAGATGAGCCGTGGGCCACCAATATGATGGTTTTCATGTATATACCAAAATCGTGTAAATCTTTCTAAATATGGTAGTTGCTAGTGGGAATTACAGATGGTGGAAAGATGTCACTTTCCGCATCAATAATTTACAAAGAATCTTATTGACCGCAGTTGGTGTAACGGGTGATGATTTGTTCACGTGGTAAAATAACAATATATTATCCAAAAAAGTAAATGGCAAAAAACAATTTTTTTAAAAAAAAATTTCTTTTCATTTTCCTTTTCAAATCAGATCTTTATTGTTAATTTAATTGTTATTAGCCATATCAAACAAATATCAGCAATATCAACATTTACAATAAAAAAAATGAATTCCCTTGCTCATAATCCTCAATTACAACAGTATATTCAAATGCATCCAAATGCTCTGAGTGTGGGTGGTGCCAACAACCTGACATCACAACTTCATACAAACTATCATGGTTTACCAATGGGCGGTGGAGATCCATGGGGTGCCGCTGCTGGTAATCCAATACCTCTGTCAATTCAACAACATCAAAAATTTGCTCAACTAGAAGACGAAAAAATTTATATTCTAATCACCGAGTTAACAAATCCTAATAATCGTGAACAAGCTCTATTAGAGTTGAGCAAGAAACGTGAACAATATGATGATCTGGCTTTGATATTATGGCATTCTTTTGGTAAATTTTTTTAATATTTTGATATTTTTTTTTAATTAAATATAATAATTTTAAATATTTATTTATTTAATCATTTATTCTTAATAGGTGTGATGACTGCATTGTTGCAGGAAATCGTTTCTGCATATCCACTTTTATCTCCTCCCACACTCTCAGGTCCAATATCTAATAGAGTTTGTAATGCTTTAGCTTTACTACAATGTGTAGCTAGTCACAACGAAACAAGAGGTCTATTTCTCAATAGTAGGCATTATTATTATTATCATTATTATTATTATTGAGAATATTTTAGGTTATGATTTGTAATTAACATATTTTCTTTTTTTTTATATAGCACATATTCCATTATTTTTATATCCATACCTAAATACTACAAGCAAAACAAGACCATTCGAATATCTTAGGTTAACAAGTTTGGGTGTTATTGGTGCTCTTGTTAAGGTACATGATATATATATATATATATATATTCAACAATATATATAATCTAATTAATTTGTTTATTAGAACGACAATCCAGATGTTATTTCATTCTTGTTGTCTACTGAAATCATACCACTATGTCTACGTATAATGGAGACTGGGAGTGAACTTTCCAAAACGGTAATTCTTTATATATCTATATTGATGTTTTTATTTTACAAAAATTTAATAATTTTACTATTAAAAAAAATTTTTTTTTAAATTAAAGGTTGCAATATTTATTGTTCAAAAAATTCTATTGGATGATATTGGACTGCAATATATATGTGCTACATACGAAAGATTCTATGCTGTGAGAACAGTCTTGAGTAATATGGTTAACCAGTTAGTGGAAACTCAAGCTGTTCGTTTACTAAAACATGTTATCAAATGTTATCTTCGGCTTTCTGATAATCCAAGGTATATATTTATTATTATAATGATATTAATAATCATTAACATATTTATTAATTTATAATGCTATTACGACAAATAGAGCTAGAGAAGCACTTCGTCAATGTTTACCTGAATCACTTCGTGATCATACATTTGCGCAAGCATTAAAAGATGATATAACCACTAAAAGATGTTTGAATCAACTTTTACTCAATCTTTCAGAAAATATGCCTACCAATTGAAATAATTAAAACAATTGAAGTAATCGAAAAAGTGGAAGGAAATTAATTATCTAACTGGTATTTTTATAATTCTATTAAAAAAAAAAATAGAGTAGATTAAATTAATCTATTAGTTTGTTTGTTTGTTTCTTAATTTGCTTCTTTAATTTAATTTCTTAATTTATTTAATTAATATTTAATTATTTGATTACTAATATATTAAAATATTAGAAGTTTTTTTTATTTATTTCTAAAATTCTACAAAAAAAAATATCATATTTTCTTACATCCATACATTACACTACATACATATGTATGTGTGTATATATATATATATGTATATCTTTTTTAAAAAAATTTCATTCTTTACTTTATATATATATTTTTTGCTTTCTTTTAATTCATTTTTTAATGCTTTATATAAATTTTATAATAATAATAATAATGTGCATATAGCACACTACTTTGTAACCTATTTAAATATTACATACATACATATATATATGATCTTTGATTTTATGGGAATATTTCATTTTATTTATTTTAGTTGCATTCATTTATTTATTTTAAAAGGGGAGAAAGGGACATTTTTATCGTAACAGGGTAAATAATAAATTTATACATACATTTAGATCTTTTGCACAAAATTCTATAGATTATAAATAATATATATATATACATACAATATTTCATCTCTATTACTATTTTTTATTAATTTAATTTAATATTTTACTTTTGTAATATATATAATAAATAATTTAATCATTATCATTGTCTAATCGAGATCTTTAACAGCAGGGAATAAAATTACCTGTAATACATAAATAATATATGTGTGTACATATTATATGTCAACAACATAAGTAATATATAATTGACAATATATCATAAATTAATTACCTCTTTAATAGATGAACTATTTGTTAATATCATAATTAATCTGTCTATACCCATACCCCAACCAGCCCTATATATAAATGTAATAATAATTTCATTATTAACAACAACAACACATCAATTCCCATATAATAATAGTGAATTTAAAATTTTGGGGTGAGGTGTTTGGATACAAAATTCTGATCGACTAATTTCGGCATACACATAGAGATTTCAAAGTACTTACGTTGGTGGCAAACCATATTCTAAACTTTTACAATAATTCTCATCAATTAATTGTGCCTCGTCATCTCCTTGATCTCGTTGCTGTGACTGTTCTTCAAATCGTCCACGTTGTTCAAACGGATCGTTCAATTCAGTATATGCATTAACTATCTCCCGTCTTGCTATCAACAATTCAAACCGTTCACACAAACCTTCAATTTCTCTGTGACTTTTGGCTAATGGTGACATCATCTTTGGAAATCCTACTATAAATGTTGGTGATATACATTCTGTTTCAATAATTTTATCAATAATCTATATTATATGAATATATAGATAAATATAAATGTATAATATAAAAATGTAAAATACGTTATATTACAAACTCATTACATTCACCCGTGTATATTATACCTTATTAAATAATCTTGAATTAGTTTTTGGTGGATTGCATGTTATTTTATGATCATTACATATTTGCTCAAGAAACAATCTAGATTCTTCAGTGTGCAATTTACTTGGTGACGGAAACTTGACCTTCAACTTATCTTCTAAAGTTGGTATTATATCAATGCGTTTAAAAGGCAGACTAAAATCTATTTTCAAATTTTCATTATTACTAGTCATATAATCCAACACATGATGATCATTACTACTATTATTACTACCACCACTATCATTATTGAAATTTTTCAGTATTTCCATAACCATTTTTTCAGTAAATTCCATCAAATCATACATGTCTGAATATGCCATATAAAATTCACAAGTGGTAAACTCGGTATTATGAGTAGTGTCAATCGACTCATTACGAAATTGTCGACCAATCTCAAAAACTCGATCAAACCCTCCGATCACCAATTGTTTCAAATACAATTCAGGACTTATGCGCATATATAAATCACTCTTTAAGCTTTCATGATATGTCTTAAATGGTTTGGCATAGGCTCCACTTGGAATTAAGTTCATCATTGGTGTTTCTACCTACAAAAAAAATTTTTTTTCAAGATTATAATTAAAAAATTTTCCCCAATATTTTCAATAAAAAAAACTCTAAAATATGTGTATATATATATATATATATATATATAAATAAATAAATAGTAATACCTCAATAAATTGATTTTCTTGTAAAAAGTTTCTAATTATATTAATAATCTTGCTTCTGGTAACAAATTTAGAATAAACAGATTTGTTCAACATTAAATCAAGATATCGTTGTCGATATCTTGTTTCTGGTGATGATGATGATGTTGTTGTTGTTGTTGTTGTTGTTGTTGTTTTTGTTTCATGATATAGTTTTGGTAATTGATGTAAACAAGGTGATAATAGTCTCATTTGTTTTGAGAGAATTGACAATTGTCCACTATTTGACATATGTGGATTACCACTTACACCCACCACATCTCCTCTATCAAAATCTTTATGGGTGTTTTGAAATCTTGGCAATAATAATTCATCATCTGATCTAATATCAATAATAATAACAATAATTATATTTACTTATAATTATTAATAGTCTGATAATCACGCATAGATATATATATTTACTGGAAGTGTGCTTTGATTTGAATAGTTTGATTTTGTCCTTGTAAATCAAAAAAAATTAATTTAGATCCTAAATCTCTTCTACGAATAATACGACCAGCCAACGATACTTCTTCCTCTAATAAAACATCTCCTTTTTCCAACACGCCACCATTTTGATATTTTTTAATAAATTCTGGAATAGTAAGTGTTGTTTCAAATTTGTGTGGATATAGGTTTGAAGTTTCAATGCATGCAGTGAATTGAAGGAATTGAAGAGTTTTTTTAATCAATTCAGATCGATGTTGCTAAAAAAAAATATAAAAAGATTTATGTATATTAATTTAAAAGTATCATTGGATAAAGTTGTTATTTCCATTCATAAATAAAATGCATTCATACATTTATATACAAAGATAAAACCATATTATTTTGATAATATAAATAATGATCTACATACTTTGTAAAAGATTTTTTTAACAATCACTAACTAATAACTACATTTCTATTGTCATTAACTCACTCATCTATAACTATCACAACTTTTTATCGTCAATTATCAATTGTTTTAACCAAAGAAAGTCTTTTGAAAATCTTAATGACGATGATGTAAATATCGCCAATTGACTTTTTAATTCTTTGGTTAGATTATCTTTGGCTTGCAAACTCGTCTTTGAGTTTTGGTTTTTTGTTTTTGATATCGATGTCACCAATGAAGAAAATCATTATTAGATTATATGTTAGAAAACCTAACCTTGTCCAAAGAAAAAATCAATTAACGTTAATATTTTAATATGATCACAATAAATCTGATATAACCTTATTATCAATAATGTTACGGAAATTCAAATATTGTCTAAAGAATCATCAATTAATAGCCAAGATATCATAATACGTCTAACATTATCAAAAAGAAAAAAAAAAGGGCTAACAACTAATGGTGGTGTAGAAAGTGTAGTTGAAAGGGTTAATTACTTAAATTTAGAAATTACATACAACAAGCAGCACTGTCACCACATTCTCAATTGTAGCGAACAGAACAATCGGTAATCCTTACTACAAACGACCTCAAATATTGTCACCAACTTCAACACAATAGTCAACAAAGGTTTTATAGAAAATATAAGCCTTTGTATTGATCTTTAGTTATATTCATTATTACTATAATAATATTAATCGAAATAATTCTCAAGTTACCAGTGATGATTATTGCTGCAATAACTTCTAATTAAACTAATAGACACAAGTCATAACGTCTGAGCTTCTTAAATATATGAATGTGGCCTTTTACTGGTCATTTCAATAGAACTGATAACAAATAACAGTGTAGTGTTCACACTATGGTCAGAATTTATACGACATGAGAGGTAATTTCTGAATTTAATTCAACAGTTAGAATTCACTATTAATAAATTCGAGAGTTTTTACAATTAGTAAATTTAATTATTAATAGATTCCATAATACGGATTTTTGGTTCATAACTTCTTAAGGAAACTAAAACATCGATCCTTTGTTTGTGCAATATTCAACTTTGAATAATCCCAACAGATAAGAGAGATGCAGAAGTCATAATGACATTACAATAAGATCAATAAGATCAATATACTAGTGAAAGTTTTGTTCATATGATAAAAATTTAAATCTTGATGGATGTAATAATTTTTTTACAATAAAATTTTTCTAAAAAAACCATTTGGAGAGTGAAAATTCAACTTTCTGAAATCCAACAAGAAATCATCTTAAACTTCTCAATATATGTATTGCGTGTCAAAAGGAACAAAGTTTTGCTTAGATGTCCAAAGAATTTATTTTTAGAAATTTAAAAATTTAGTCTTTATTATTAATATATGCATATATATGTCTGCATTCAAGCTGTGCTATTCTAATAGTAATCTTCTGGTAATATACTTTTTTTTGGTTTCCCCTATGGGTTTTGGATTTTGGTATTTGTGTATAAATGAAGGAATTGAATTTTTCTGTGCCAGTAGAGAGTTTTATTTTGGTTGGTTCCATCTTCCAGTTTCCTGTATATATTGTCTTAGGTTTTTTCTTAAATTTTATCTCGCAACAAAATAATAATAAAATAATCTAAAGAGCATTTCAAGTTTTAAGGTTATTCTGATATGATATATATATATTGATTAGCAGGAGGACAGAAAATTTTCACTTTCCAGAAAGATCCATCTGCCTTTTTTGCAAGTATCACTTTTGACATGACGGTACCAGAGGATTAATTAACCTTACTTAAAAATGGTAATGTCAACCCCAAACAAGATACACTCCCTGGACAAAAGTATACAGACACCTGTTTTTACTAATTACACAAAAATGCACATAATAACTAACTATACATAAAATTTTGGTAAAATGTAGCTTAGGTTTTGTTTGACAAAAGTGCATGTAAAATTTGATTTTTTAGAAATTTGACAAAAAAAGTGATCAACAAAATTTTATTGAAAAATATAAAAAATAAAAAAATGAAATAAAATCCGATATTAATATCAAGTTGCCTCGATCCTTCTGGGCATGCTTTCTATTAATTTATGGTAAATTTCATATGGAATATTTGACCACTCTTCTTGTAAAGCAGCCTCCAATTCATTAGCATTTTCGGATATTGTGCTTGTTTATCTAATTGCCTTTCTAGTTTGCTCCAAAGATGTTCAATTGAATTAAGGTCTGGGATTGTGAAGGCCAATCAGGTAGAGTTCTAATCTTTTTTTCCTTTATCCAATTTTGGACATCATATGCTGTGTGTACAGGTGCGTTATCATCTTGAAATGCATAACCCCTGCCGTTAAATTTGTCACTAATATAGGTCAACAATTTATTTTCTAAAATTTCTATATAATTATGTCTATCCATCATCCCTTCAACTCTAAATAATGGCTCAGTCTCTTTTTGGAGAAACACCCCCAAACCATTATTCCACCACCACCATGTTTGACCGATGGTGTAATGTTTTCAATATTGTACCATTCACTGACTGGACACCAAACATGATGGAGACCATCGCTTCTAAAAATTGTAAAGCGAGACTCATCACTCCATATTATCTTTCCTCATTGAGCAACACTCCATATTCTCCTAATTAAACACCACTTCAATTGATTTTCTTGCTGTTTTTCTGTCACGTGTGGTTTTACTGGTGAAAATCCCAAGACTATGCAAGCTTCTACGAATTGTTTTAGTAGAAACCACAAGATAATTTTCTTCAGCAAAATTTTTCCTGGATCATATTTGCTGACATGCGACTATTTGTTTTTTACTAGCACTTTTAATTCGTTTTGTTCAAGTTCATCTAAAGTTTTTGGTCTACCACTTCTTGGTGTGCTTTTAACATTTTCTAGATTTTTGTAACAAGAAATGGTGTCTTGAACTGTACTTTTTGGGATTTTTAGTTTCTTGGAGATAACTTTTACACTCATGAAGGCCTAAATTTTTCCTCAGATACAGTACCTTAGCAAAAGTTTCGGACACCCTAAATACATCATTTACGCAAAAACATACATAATAATTGTACAGAAAATTTATGCTAGTTTATAGCTTAGCTTCCAAAAATTATGTATATAGAATCTTATGTTACTAAATTTTCTAGAACTCGAGCAATTAAAATAAGATTTTTCACATAATTATTATGTACGTTTTTGCGTAATTAATGTATTTGGGGTGCCCGAAACTTTTGCTAAGGTACTGTAAGTTCTGACAATTCTTCATTTTTTTGGGATTTTTAAGATTAAAAAAATTTTTTATCAATCTTGATTTTTACAAATGTGATTTTAATTATAAATTATTTATGCTAGTAACTACTACAAAATTTTGAATCCATATTCTAGATAACCTAAGCTATAAATTAGTATAAAATTTTATTTTTATTATTTATGTAGGATTTTGGGTAAATTAAATAAACAGTGATTTTTGTCAAATTTTGTATTTTTTTTAACTAAAATGTTTCTAGATGTTCTAAAAGTCAAATTTTACATGTTTGTCAAAACCTAAGCTACATTTTGCCAAAATTTATGTAGTTATTATGTGCGTTTTGTGTAATTAGTAAAAACAGGTGTCCAGATATTTTTGTCCAGGGAAATTGGTATAAAGCAACTAGTAGTATGAAAAATCCTCAATAAGTATTCATTATACAAAACAAGAGAATCCCCTGTTATTGAGCCTCTATTCAAGTCTCTGGGGTTACATAAATCATATAGAGTTCTTCCAAAAAACAAATAACATATTGAAATTAGGCATCAGATTTAACAAAATCATATTTTCCATGCTATGCAAGTTCCTTCTTTGTTATCTTCATGGCAGTGATGATGATCTTTGGCATAGGTTGTTGTACTAATAATTAGTGTTGTAAGCTGAAGCTAGTTGGCTGGATTTTCTTCTAGTTGTGACCAATTAATTAAAAAAACTATTACACATCAAAAATCACCAGATAAAATGTAGATAATTGAAACTAATACAAAACATGCCTTTTCATCTAGGATGTTCCAAAATACATTTTATTATTAATTTCCACTATTTGTTTAAAAGAGTATAATATGTTTGTAGTGAAGTGTAGGAAGCTAGTTTTTGAGTAATTTCCAAATGACTAAAATCACAATTCATCCAGGAAAAACAACTACAAAAAAAATTAATGTATTAGTATATAGTACAATGTCTTATTGAATATTAATATTATATTGAAATTTAAAAATTTGATATTTTCTTTCCATAGACCATAAATAGTAACAAGTTCAATAGGTTTTATTTGACAAGTGGACTCAAATTGATTTTAAAAAAATTTATTATTTCTTTATATGTCAAAATGTCAATTTTGAAATTGTATATTTACAACTTTTGTAATAAAAAAAAAAAATCTGTCAATTATTGACACTTTTGAAAATGTGATGAATATACCTAATTATAGGGTATATAGCTGTGGCTGAAATCCAGTTGCAACTTAGTCAACTTGAAAATTTTCTAGTTGTGGTTAGATATAAAATCTTTAGCCATGGCTATGACTAGTTGGCTAGTAACACCACTAATAACCTGCCTATTTCTGCTCAAGTCCTCATTCTAACCACTTTTTTGGGTGAAATATATAAAGAGTAGTATTATCAAATATCATTTTTTAAATAACATAAAATGATACAATACATTACCAGACAGATAATTCCACAAGTAAGAAATCAATAAAAAATGACTATCAAATAAGTAATAAGGAAAAATCATTAAAATCCACAAGAAGTTTTTGAAGTTAAGAAAATTTTGAGACTTACCAAGATATGTATACATCTATGTAATGCCATTTTACTTCAGACGGCATTAGAAGAAACTCATTTTACTTTGAGAGTTTAAAGTCACTGCATATTCAAAGAGACATATTCTCTTAAGAATAATAATAAGAAAACCTCAAATAGCTAGACTCAGGTAGCTTATTTGAAGCTTAAAGTCATGGCAGTCATCATGTAAAAGCTTAATTCCTTGTAGAGCTACAATTCAGAGAAACTAAAGGAACCATCACTGAAAAATGACCAATTAGTCAAGTCTAATTGAAATACCTTGATATGAAGAGCTCATATTGAATCATTATTTAAGAGGACAAAATCAGAAGAATCAATTTAAGAACAATGTAACAATACAGGAAGAATATAATGATAGTTCACCCTTGTGAAAATCTATCAGGAAAAGCCAACAATGACATGATCAATAATGACATGGTAATACCCATTACCAATCAAAGAAACCAGAATATTACCAAGAACAAACAATATCAATTGCAAAAAAATAATTATAATAAACAAATAAATGAAAAATTTATACCCAATCCAAGAGATCCAACTGAATAAATGAAATGTGAATGAATCATGTCAAAGAAAATTAGAATAGTGAAAAAAATTTTTCAATTAAAATTATTATAAAAACAATAATGATTTAACTTTCTACCTGACCCAAGAAATTAAATCAAATCACATTAAAGAAAAACTGGAATAATGAAAAATTCAAGCTAAAAATTTTTTTTTTAAATTAAAATTATTATAAAATAATAATGATTTATGAATATCTATACATCATGAATAAATGACAACAATGGTGGCAACTAAATAAATAATAATGAAATAAATAATAAAAAATAAAACAAACATGTAAAATGGTCATGAAAAGTTCATAAAAGGTTTTGCTTTAAAACAGAAGAAAACATGGTAAAAGAAGCAACAGCTATAAAGCAAATATGTATTAAAAAAACATTAGATATTTTCAAACAAAATAGTACACCTTTAAAATAATCTATCAAAGAAAACTAGAAAACTAAAGAGAAATTTTATTCATCAGGGCCAGAAAATGTATATATAGTAAATAGGGAACCAGGAATATAATTTAAGTAACATCCCGTGTAACACTTTTCCATCATGAGCTCTACTGACCGGAGTAAGAAATATCTAGCTCACTTGTTATATATAACTAATGTTATAGTTAAAGGTAGGTACTGTTTTATGTTAAAATTTCTGTATACTGTTTAAATAATAATAATAATAATGGTCGCGTAACCATTCTTTCTGGTTGCGTACCACCAGATTATTTACCATAGATCCATCCAAGCATAAGCTTAATAAGCTAATAATATGAGCTTAAGCTTATGAACATAATATATATAATCATTTTAATTTCGCGCAAACTTCAAAATCCAAAAAGGTATTAATTAAACAATTACGATAAGCATTATATTTTACCAAAAAAAGAAAAACTAGGCTAATGTTGAGAATGAGGAATGTTTTAAAGATATGATAATTTTTTTTATTTTAATTAGTTTTCAATATTAGAACCAGTTCAAACTGCTTCTATAAATTTATTTTTTAAAAATTCGCTTTAAACAAATGATTAAATTAGTTGTAGTAGCAGTGGTGGTAATAATAATTAATATTTGCTATTAACATTTATACCCTTCTTTTATTTGATTAACAACATCATTATTATAATGACTACCAGAATAATCATAACCATAACATTATTAATTATCATAATTACCTATTAGTCTCGTTTAACTGCCCTTTTCATAACGAATTTTTGGTAGAACGAATTTATTTATATAAACCATGCAAAATCGGTGTCTTTATCTCCTCCTTCCCATCTTAATAATAATAATTATTATGCGAAACTGTTACTAGGAGGAATGTTATTACTTATTTATGTCTGGTGAACAATAATCACGTTTTCAAGCATATTTAATTTTCTATCAGCAGATGCTTTTTAGACCTGTTGATCGGTTTTTCCAATTTGCATCATCCATTGTGCTTCATCTTCTTGATTGGCCTATTCATATTCTCATTTTGTGAACTAGTAGAAATGTCATCATTTTTATCTCGTGCAAGATAACTACGTTTTCCTAGCACATTCGATTCTATCATCCTATTATCAACATAACAAACAAAAAATTTGAATTAATATTAACATTTTATATTTTATATATTTATAAATATATCAATCAATCAATAATTTCACATCCACTTTCTTGTCACATTTTCATTCTGTTGTATATTATAACCTCTGCCACTAGTATTTGAGGATGAAGTTAAATTATTACCATTACCATCGTCACCTTCTTCTTCACTATCAGAGGAATCGGAATCGGAATCAGAATCAGAATTGGAATCAGAATCGGAATCGGAATCGGATGAATCAGACGAACCACTTGAATTGCCTTTTATATCAGCAGATGGTTTACTAGATTCGTCTTTGACAAGTTTTTTGTTATTGCCATTATCCACCTCATCACCATCAATACCATCATTAATATTTCTCATCTCATTTAGCCTATTTATCTTCCCCTTCTCATCATTTTCAGTCTCAACACTATTATTATTGATGGGAGTGACTAGCCAATTGTTATGCAAAACCATATCAGGAACTTCTGGTGCACAATAACCACATTTCTCATTATCATTTAATTCCATAAACGGGGTATCTAAATCTATTGTGGAAAAACGTACGTTTGAGAAGTGTTGTTGATAGATAAATGAATAAGGGAAGAAAGTAAAAAGATTTACCAAATTCTTTTTCATATCTGTATAGGATACTATTTGATTGCTTTGTAACGAAAAATACAACTTCATTCTTTCTGAATGAATCCTCTAATTTAAGCTTATTTGCTTCATCTTCAAATCTAACCACTTCATAACCGTCTTTAGTAAAGATTGCCACCTCATCCATCATTCTACATAGGTAAACTCGATAAGTCGGACACAAATGGCTGGACATGGTGTCCGACTTATCAAGAGATCCGACTTATCAAAATATGCAATTTTACAAAAAAAATAAAAATAAAAAAATA